TTATTTTTTTAATTATTCTATAAATAGAATTTCAATTCGAATTAAATAAACCAAAATCTATTTAAATTTTCTACTCAAAAATATTAAAAAAATATTACTTTATACTCTTTGATTTGAATATCATAATATTTATTATTTTTATATGAAATATTTATTCTATTTATCAATAATCGTATTATAAATTAGCAATAGAATTTCTTTCTAAATAGAAATATATTATATATTGAAATTTTTTTCAAATATTCGAAATTTAAAAATCTATAATAATATATCATCAATATATATTAGTCTTTATAATCATATTCTAAATCAGAATATATATATCAGAAATTCTAATATAAGAAATTTATACTCCTTCAGTAAAATTTCCAGATTTTTAGTATTAGGAAATAAATATCCATAAATTTGTCAAGAAGAAATTCCGCCAGAAAGCGAAGTTATCGAATATCTATAACACATTCCAAAAGAATAGATACGACCAGCGCGATCCCATTTAAAGAATAACTATTAATATTTCATTTAATTATCCTTCTAAAAATTTAAGATTTAATTATATTAAAATTTCCAAGCAAAAGCGCACTATTTCTATTCTCGAGAAGTATCGTTTCAAAAATCAGAAAATTGGAATTAAAATAACTGTCATTAATATGACCGCACAATATTTGTTTAAAAATTCTATCTATTTTCTATATATATATATATATTGCGTTAATGAAGTACGACCACGGTTCTGCTCTATGCTAACCAAATCAGAAAATAGAAATACATGCTCTCGCACTTTTTTGTAAAAGCCAAATATATTCTCATATTCAATACATTGGACCGAACCTATTCAATATATCTCATCAGATCATTTCGGCATCCGACTAAATAGTTGAGAGCCTTCCCCCTGTGACTCGGCTGCCTATGCATGTGCAACCCATTCCAAATGCAGAGCTCGTGGGCACGTTTCTTCGGCTTCTTTGCACCGGGATCTTCGAACATTGCGACTAGGTGAAGACCCATAGTCCTCAATAAGGATACCGCCTGAATCATTGCATCCATGTGGGCCCTGCGATTCGTTCATGTACAGTTTCTCTAAGGCACACCGCGGTGAAACTTGCATCCGGGTGCATCATGTGGACAAGAACTCGAGAATCCTGGTTACAGGCTTTCAAAGCAGCACTGCTGGCCATAAGTTCTCAAGATTAAATTCGAAAGGCATGCAAACGCAAAGCAGAGATTTCGGTGGTGCTTGGGACCTGTCACAGTGGGAGAACGTGACACTCACAGATGCCACCAAGCCCAAGGGACATGCCAGCCTTTCCTTCGGGTGCAAGAGGCTTCAATGACTTTAATGAAAGCCTCCCAGCTGGACAGCCCGAACTCCATCGCTATGACATTTGGATCCTGCTCCGATGTAAGGGTTGTTCTAGGTCAGGCTGCCGCTCATCGTTCTGATTATAACAACCCCATGTCAGAACGGGCATCAGTACGACGAAAACCCGTCTTGTCAGCTGTTTGAGACGTGCGCTGTTGTGATTCTACCAGCGCACATGCTTTAACCATGCCACAACTTTTTCACAAAGCCTTGTCCCACACCTCGAAAGCTGACCACATACCGTCCTTCGGCCTCCTCCGATGCAGCTTAAAGAAAGCCTGAGGCCTCATAGATAGTGTCTGCAGTGTTCGTGTGGGTATCTCAAGCTAGGTTTCCTTTCCGAATGCACCCTTGCACTTCTCACAGACAAGTTGCTGCTGGAGCAGTTCAGCCTGTTTACACATGGATGGACTGCCTGCCAACTACCACCTCTGGTGTTCCTGCATACACTCCACCGTCCGGGTGTCCACGATCTTCCGGTCCTGTCGCCTTTTGAAAGCTTGCATCCCCCGGTGCTCTGTGCTTTCAGCGTGCTACGAGGATGAAGAAACTCTGCAGTGTCGACCTGGGCTCTTTGCCTCTAACCTTGGCTCTCCCTGTTGCGACTCCCCGGAGATGCTGTGCAGCCCAGATTCGCGTCTCTCTTGGTACGTCGGCAGCGTGCAGGAGTCTGGCACAGGGCAGACTCCGATCCAGCTGTTTCCCCCTTTTGAACGTGGGGAGCGCGCCCGAATTCCTAATTCTGTTGCCGCTGGCAGGCATCAACAACCTTGCAGCCGAACGGCACGTCCAGGCCGGCGATGTGGTGGTGGCCCCAACAGACCTGGATGGACCAGGCTTCTCTGTCAAGCTGCAAGCATGGGTAGTTGCAAGGTGGTCACGGTTAAACGTTCGTTGCGCTAGCAATATTGCCATCATCGGCTTTTTGAATTTCGGTGCACAGCTTCGGCCTGCCAAGAGCGGCATTGCATCCTCCTCGCCCTCGTCCCCGATCCTGCCAGCACCTTGGCCGGGCCAATAGGAAATTAGCCAAAAGATGTCATGGTTGAAGATGTCCTTCGATAGCCTTCGAACATTGCAATAAAGGCTACTCGAAGATGAGTGGCTCCAGTGCCTGGTGTTAAGTAAGTCATCTGTGCACATATCCATATGTCCTGATACCGCGACACTTTTACTTTTCCCGCATACGAAAGTGAGTCCGGAGCCGGCCTCCCTCCTCGACGTTTTCGTAGGAGTCCTGCTTGTTGTCATTCGGCTTGTTGCCCCTTCGGGGCTTCCTTGAACCAGGCTGCAAGGTTCACTGCAGCGATTCGGAGCAAAGATACAGCAACTTTGTTCGATGCTGCGAAGAACAACATTTCGCAGCAGTCTCCTCTCTCTACTCGCGAGGATTGCGACCCCCGCAAGGGCTCACGTTTGACCACCACTACTACTACTACTACTACTAGCCACCCCCCCCCCCTACCAACTACACTTGCTCCATCCGGGCTGGGCAGTGGCAGCTTCCAGGCTCCCGAACTGCGACAGGTGCAGAAGATGCAGGGGCTCAGGCTCCCTATCTGTGACACCTGCAGAAGTTG